GACAGGACATCTTCTGAAGCAAAAACGACCAGTTAGAGTCACATTAGAAGCAGAAACAGGAATAATGTGGGACAGAGGAAGTCCTAGATTAGACTAAATTACCGTTAGCAATTATTAAGGGATGAGTGATATTCTAGTTTATGGGAAAGTTTAGACTGAAGACCTATGGTTATAATGATCAGACGCTATTAATTTCTAGTTACTCAAGACACACATTTTGGTCCTCCGGAGTGTACGAAATGGAAGTCAAATATATTTATGTGTTTAGTATCTGTTCTTTTAAAATTGCTCATTAATGCGTTTTACCGGTCATGATTATATAATTGTCGCATATCTAGAATAATTTGTCAAATAATCGTAAATATTATCAGTAACACGATTACTAAAGTAATTGAACGAAAGAATTGAGTGCTTTCACAGTTACAATTTAAAAAATTCTGATAGTTACATTTAAATATTGCAAATGAGTTCAACTTCTTTATTATTAATCTTACGAAAGAAAATTGCTCTTTATAAAAAGTCCTGCATGGTCCAAAACACATAACGACATAATCAGACTTAATAATTTGTCAGTCATAGTCAAGTTTTCGCACAAAATACGAAATTTATCTTTATTTTTGAAAATAGTAGAAACCTTTATAAAGAAAAAAATTGACAATTAATAAGTAATAACAAATATGGAACCATATCTATGGATTACTAAAATTATGATTTTGTGTACTTCTTCATACTTTGGCCTCATATAAGTAAATACTTCTGCATAACATTAACAATACATAATACAATTCTGATCAAAGTTGCCGTATAATTATTTTGTTTGACAGTTTTTCACTAAAAGTCAAATATTAGTTTTAAAATACAAAAAAGCAATAATGCAGCGACTTTTAGTTTGGAAATTTTAAATGTGTATTATCTCCCACATAGTAAACTATTACATTGTTTGCTTCCAGTTACTACGTAAAAGATAAAAATATTTATGAATTTAATCCTTTTCGAAAGTAAGACGGGTAAGCATCGGAAATGATACTCGCACAGGTATTGGAAGTGAAGTCTTTTAAATGTTGGAATATGACATTCCAATCTACATAATGAATGATTCTTTGTTTGTCTAGTATGCGTTCCCACACCATTCATTCGATTGTGATGAAATATTTGTGGATTATTGTGCACATTTCCACGAAAGTTTCAGAATTACTGTATCATCATCATAAGGTCGTCAATCCTAAGACTGGTTCGACACGTACCTCCACTCTTTTCCTATCCTGAGTTAATTTTCGCATTTCCCTAAAACTAGAACATTCCACATCCTTAACTATTTGTGAACAGTAATCTAATCTAGGTCTACCTCCACTCCTCTTAACTCCTGTTTCTGCCTCTAATATATCTCTGACTAGACCTTCATGCCTAAGAAGGCGTCCTACCAACCTATCTCGCCTATTTTTTATTGACTTCCATAGAGTCCTCTGTTCTCCTATTCTTTCTAGTACCTCTTTATATCTAACCTTCTCTATCCACGGTATCCTCATCATTCACCTGTAACACCACATTTCTAATGCTTCTAACCATTTTTTTCCGCCGCGCCCGCCATCCATGTTTCGCACTTGTACAGCGCCAAGCTTCGTTTACTTTTGATCTCCCAAAAGAAGTATCATTAATTAGTGAAGACACGAACAACTCGTTAGGTTAAGATACGGGAATCCAAAAAAGCACTTGATAAAATTTGGTACCTTTGATTCTGTTCTGTATTCAGTGGAAAGACCAACAGTTTGAATTTTTCGATATCACGCTTGGCCTATATGCTTTATCTTTATTTAACCAAAGCAAATTGCAGTGCAGTATAAATTGCTTTCTAAAAATCGACAAAAATATTTTGTTGTAGAAAAGTGATATCTCCTAGTTGTGCACATTCAGCGACACATTTGAAGCATTCAATATAGGTCTATGCAGTTTTATCAGGAAGTGATAAAAATACTAGATGTAGATACACATGAATCTTGTTGCAATGCGTGAATCACTTGGAATTTGGTTAATATATATGGGATAGTTTTAAAATGTATCATCCACGTAAACATTGGTTGTTCGACAAAACATTTCAGTATTCTGAACTGTAGAAACACATATAAATCGAATGGAATTCACGTCATCATGAGATCATCAGACTGGTTGGACACGCACCTCAACTCCTTCCTATCCTGAGGCAATCTTCGCATTTCCCTAAAACTAGAACTCCCACATGCTTAACCATCCGCGAACAGTAATCTTATCTGGGTCTATCTCTACTCCTCTTAACTACTGTTTCTGCTTCTAACATTTCTTTAACTAGTCCTTAATACCTGAGAAGCTGTCCTACCAACCTATCTCGCCTATTTTTTATTGACTTCTATAGTGACCGGTGTTCTCCTATTCTTTGTAATACATCCTCATATCTAACCTTCTCTATCTACGGTATCCTAATCATTCGCCTGTAACACCACATTTCGGACGCTTCTAACTTTTTCTTTTCCGTCGCGCCCACCGTCCATATTTCGCACCCGTCAGCGCCGCGTTCCAAACATACACCTTTAACAATCTTCAAAATTTCTAAATTTACAACACACGAGCATAAAAGTGACTTGAATATTGTCGTCAATAGAATTAGTGATATTAACGCTAAATATTTTGTTTAAAGTAGTATTTTCAGTGAACTAAATTTTCTTTTGATAATTTAAAGAACACATGAGATATGAAAAAAATGCGTTAGAATGAGTTTGTTTTACGTTTAATGGTGAACTTTTTAAATAAGTAAAGATTAAGATAATGCAAGCGTCCTCTCTGGCTTGTATTTCTCGACAACCTGTTGAATAAGCGCGCAGCAACCTACACCATACAGTAACAAAACGTACTTACTTAAGTCAATAGTTAGATATAGATATATGTATAGATGGACTTGTTTACCTTCTTGTTTACAATACACTTTACTTAAGGCAGGTAATAATGGTAGTAGGGTATTGCTGTATATGCATTTCAAGTTTCCTTACCTCTTTTTATTTTTTCCGGCTGTAGCGAATCACCATTACACGCGTTAATATCGTACAAATCGAGTCTTTCAAAAGCATTGTGTAAACGTTCGTTTTCTAAAAAATTAAAACTGGTATCTTTCATAAATTCACTTTTTGGTACACCGAGCGCGGGCAGGTCGTGAATCGGATGATTACCGCCGTTAACTTTATAAGATTTACTTTTGAACATTTTATCTCAAGCCGAATATCTATTTAAGAATGTAACTCAACAACAACAACAATAAAAGCAGCCTTTCACTGTGATGTTTGAAACGTTTCTTGTGCGGCAGTCGTGTTATTGCTTGCTTTCCAGCATATCGCTGCTGCCCATGACGTAATTTACGAATATAGTAACGAATTATTGGAATAAGTAGTGCTGTAGTGTCATCTATTTACATGACGTAATCTGAAACGTGAATAAACAAATAAATATTTGAAATGTCTTCATATCTATTTAGCATTTATCTCATGTCTCATGACATAATTATAAAAATATAATAATGGAAAGCGCAAACGTTTAACCTTAAGACAGGTAGTTAGTTCCACACATATCTGTATCTTAAACGTGGTTGTTAGTGGGTTGTCATGATCGCATATCTAGAATAATTTGTCAAATAATCGTAAATATTATCAGTAACACGATTACTAAAGTAATTGAACGAAAGAATTGAGTGCTTTCACAGTTACANATAGGTATAAGATTATTCTAAAAATACATTGGAAATACAAGTTCAATTGTATTTTCTAAATTGTATCAAAAATTAATGAAAATTAAAGTCTTGTCTTCTTCTTGTAACTGTCGCATTTATTGACTTCTAACTTACCAGCTAGAGTAGGGTTGTTGCTGACAGAACGTCTACGATTAGTCATGACAGGCGTTGTAGGGAATATCGTAAATATAGAAAAGAGATGTCAGGTGGGAATTGCAGCGAACACTAATAAAGAAAACAGAATAGCATTACACCAATTAATGTGTAACAGAAAAAAATGCAGGAAAGCAGAATGAGCATGTTATTAGCATCGGTCTTTAAGGAAAGTTCAAAATTCTTAGTAATTGAGGAAAGCAAAGACGCTTGTTTAAAAATTATAATTCCAACCAGGCGGTTATAAAGCCGACCCTGATCTTTTATGTAACTAAACAACCTCTAACCGCTGCACCGCTTACTATTATTCAGTTATCTTTTTTTACTTGGTCTGTACTACTCATGAAGCATTCAAAACGCAGAAAATGACTACAGTTTCAAGTGGAAACAAGAAAGAAGATACTGTTCGTTTCAAGAAGTTAGGGATATGCCCCTTCCCTTTATTAGGATGCGCCGTAGCATAATTCCAAATTCAATCATATTTGTCTGCGGAGCTCATTTCTCCACCGATCATCGAGCGAGAACTAGACAAAAGTGTACAGTACCATTTGCAAAATTATTTAAACTGCCTCGTTAAAATTTAAGAATATGCTTCGTTTAAGAGCATATTTAGCCAAAAATAATAGCAAGTGAATTAACTTAACGTTCTACACACCTATAAAATTTTTGCTTTGTTTTCTATTGTTAATTCATATACGTTTTTGTTTTAAGAAATTGCTAAACATTTTCGTCTAGTACTGTACAGTTCTAACCGATCTCCTAAGACAGCCCATCGAGAGCTCTGCTAGTTCAAGCTTGTTCCAATTATTTCTGTCTTGCTCACGCTTAGTGTGTATTCTTTCTATCTTCGCGCAGATTTGTTCAAGGTCATAATTCTAACAAATTGAAATGGACTGTACATTCACTCTCACAGATAATTTATTGCGGACTTTGCCACTTTTGATCGTCCCAATTATATTACTTTTGATACATGATCTTGATATTGTCTTGGTTTATTAAGTTTTACCTTAAGAAATCTTGATCTTGACTTTAAATATTGTAAGTATCAAAATTTAGATAGAAATAATAATGTATAAAAAACACTCCAATACCTAATAGTTTATAGATAGGCCCCTATGCGTTTTCTTATTACCTACAAGCTGAAACATTGTAACCGTGTTCATCCTGACCAGTTCGACAATCTTTTGATCTACGAAAATTCTTGATAAGGCGCTATTTTCGTGTGGGGAATTGTAAAACATGTCAATTTAATGGGATTGTTATTTTTTATTATCTGAACTTTATTGATGGTAATCATAAAATAATTTTATAAATACGAAAGAAAAGTTTTTTGATCAAAAATGTTGCTCCTATAAGCTGAGCTGTCGTAAATCATATCATAAATATACCTTAACTTTTGTCCGACAAAATTCGAGCGCCATACTCACTCTCTAATGCGATTTCCTGAAACTCGGCTGATGAAGCGATCTAAGGGTGAAGGCAAGACTAAAAGAAGATACGAATGTAGCAAGAGGAAGTACCGCTTGAAAGAAAATGTAGAGTACGTATATGGAAAAGAGAATGGATCAATAAAGTCATACAAGTATTAGAAGGGTTTAAAAAAGTAATGGTCTAAACGAACACAGGAGGAATGTTAAAATAAAATAAACAATAGCTTGTGTTAAGGCAAATCGGTAAAGGCTTTCGCGGCCAGTAGGTGAACAGTTAGTATTTTTGAACGTACTACTGAAGAAACGAAGCAACAAATTGCGCCACACGGTATGGAGGAAACGTACACACACCGAGAGGAATCTGCAAGCCTTATTCAATCAGCACTCAAGTCATAAGTATGACATCATCAAGATTTTGACTGAACCAGCTAGAAGGATCTGCCAATCGGAAAATCTCCAGGCGGAACCGGAACGCCTAAAGTCCGCCTTCCAGGTGAATAACAACAAAAAGAGTGAGATCGAGAGATCAATGGACCTAAACAGATTAGAGGCACTACCTCGCCAGCATATCTATCGTATGTTCCAAAGGCAACGGAACGAATTGGCAGAGTTTTGAAGAGGCACGACATCAGAATCATCTTGAAATCTACGAAGAAGGTCCAGCAGACCATCAGATCAGCTAAGGATAAAAAGGACCCTATTTCAGCCTCAGGGATCTACTATATACCCTGTTGTTGCCGAGAAGTCTAAACGATCCAAAAACATCCGAGAACTCAAAATAAGAAGAAGATCCTCAGACTCAACCAGATTTGGAATCCGATCCTCAGGAACACCTGAATGGTACCGACCGGCATGCCACGATTACTGAACCGGAACAAGCCCCCCCTTGCATATGCGCAAGACCAAGACCAATACTGTCTTTATTCTAGTAAGACCAACACCAAGACCGAGCGAACAAGACCAAGACTAAAACCAAGACCGAATATGGAAGATCATGACCAAATACGTAAGACTAAATGAAAAATTATCACTTTATGAGTAAAACTATTTGAAGCAACTTTAATATATTATTTTCCTGAAACAAAACATTTTTGGTGTTTGAGCAAGATCAAGACCGAATAAGTAAGATCAACAGCAATGCCAAGACTGGACTAGTCTTGGTCTTGATCATGTTTTGCTCATCACAAAATACAACTTGAGCAGAAGAAGCCGCCAGTTCACATTCAGCATTGGAGATTGAAGGACTTCTGAAGAAGTTTGCCTCTCGTGTTAGCGAAACGTTAGAATGCAACTCCAACCGACGATGACTTTAGATCCGAATCAGGACAACGTCAGTTCAACTTGTGTTAAGTTCGTAGTAATACTTAAATTACTAAGTAATAATAATAACTGTTGGGAAATACTACAAATGGCGCGGTAAACGCCATCTGTAGAATGATGCTACATTTTAGGATTACGTATGCTCCATCTCATCAGCGCGTAAATATCCATATATTTAAATGGACCTTGTTGGAGCATACGTAATCCTAAAATGTAGCATCGTACTACAGATGGCGTTTACCGCGCCATTTGTGGNACATGTCAAAATTGAGATTATTACAAGTTACCTAATAAATCCTACTATTTCTACGGCTAATTCAATCATTTACATTCGAAAATAATAATTTTGACTTTGTCATAAAAATTTAGTTTTCTCCGTGTATAAATTATCAGTTAGAATGTTTTCTGTTATCTCCCTGATCGTTTTAGATATAGCAAAAGTTCTGAAGCTTTCAGATAAATACAACTGCTACTATATTTAAGATAGTCCGACGTTTCGCCTTTGATTATGAAATGATTTTTTGACGTGACAACGTCTTATAATTCGATGGAGCCGGCTGCACGCACGAAAAAACATGACTCATGCGGCGTTACCTCGCCCTCGCGTTCCATTTAAGGCTTGAAGTGCAAGCGAGAGCGCGGAACGAGCGACAAAGAGGCACAATCGGCCTCCTCCGCGTTCGGCAGCGTTCGACATCTGTCTCTCTCCTACTTGAGTGAGCGATGCGTCCGCGTGGACAGCTGCTATACAATAATACATTTCCATTTACCTCCTTCTCTATATCCATACAAAATATCTATCAAACAAATAAAATTAAAATTTTCTTTTGAAAAATGAAACCATTCCATC